AGTCTGAATGTGTGTTTTTTACCCACTTTGCTGAACAAGAATTGTCTGATAGCCAAAAATAATTGCAGCTTGGGCTTTATCAGATATTAAGAGATTTCCTGGTTTCTTAGATTGGAGGTTTTCTAGAGATTTCAGTTTGGGGCTGAACTATTACTGGGCATAAAGCAAACTGTAAAATTTTAACATCTCTCTAAATGGCTTCACAGAGCTCATGTAAAAGTCACGTATGTTTTTGCTTATGGAGCTGAAACAGATGAATCAGTTATGATAGCTTTAACTGGATATTGTCCTAGTGTTTCTTAAACGTTTTTTTTAGGACTGGCTAGCAGGCTTTGCCGATATTGTGTTTTTTAAGGGCTGCTGCTATAACCCTGAAGTGTTCCCAAACATAGTTAGCTACTTGCTTCTGGTTTACATTTTGCCAATTAATTCCAAGTACCCTAATAAATGTTAGTTTTCTGTGTGTGTGTGTGTGTGTGTGTGTGTGTGTGTGTGTGTGTGCGTGTGTGAAGGACTAATTCAAAGGGGGAGGTTAGGATTGTTATTTCTATGGCATGTGAAATGGGCTGGGTGTTAGAGCGCGGCAGAGCAAGGCGTGTGCCTTGCCTCCAGAGCAGGCAGCAGCAAAGAGCCTGCGTGAGAAAAGTGGGAGAGAAGGCAGAGGGGGCACCGGGAGCAGAACTGTAGAGAGCTCCTTGAATATCAAAGTACATGTGCCAATTTCCTATTTGTTCCTGAACGTAAGGCTTTTTACTTTGATCTTACGTACGAGACGATGCAAAGCGTGGCCTTCAGAGGTGCACGAGTAGGAAAAGTATTCCAAGCAGAAGGGACGCTAGAGGTGTCAGAGGGAATTGCTCTCTCCTGGACTTGATCACATCTTCATAGGTTTGTTAGCGGCAAAGAGCTGGGTGGTGGGGATGGGCCTTGGCGTCTCCATCCTTTTCCAGCCATGTGGTACGTGGTGGCTGCAGTCCTCTGCATGCAGTCCTTGGTATTTCCAGATGCTGTTAATTTAGTCCCTGTTTCCCTGTAGTCCTTCACGCGTTTGTGCAGCCGAGCTCTCCAAGCTGGCGGGTTTCCGCACCGTGAGAGCATTGCAGATGTGTCGGGGATGCACTTGCTCCAAGCAGGGCAGGGAGAGGCGGCTCCGCCCGGCCGGCCCCGCCAAGGGGGCCCCGCAGGCTGCGCCGGCTCCCCGGCAGCCCGGCGGAGCCCTGCACTCTCTCTTTAAAGCAAGCACGATTTTTGTGCATCGGCTTGGCCAATTTGTTATGGTTTAAGGCTGTGGAGCCAGCTGTCTGCAATCTGATGTAATGTTGCCCTGGAAACGAGAAATGAAACACTTGAGCATTCACCACAGAATTACTACATACAGTATTAGCCAAAATAATTAAAAGTTGAGCCATATGGGCTTTCGGATGGAAAAATTTGGAGCAGAGGAGATGGAAGTTAAGTTGTTCCTATTTACAGTACTGCAAATCCGTTTGTTTTCCCCTTGGAGCGCGGGGAGAGGCCTGTTCCGGCGGCGCGTGGAGGGGACGGGGAGATGGAGGGGCCCCGGCTGCTTTACCGGAGCATTAACGATGCCGAGGCTTGGCCTAACGGGGGACGGCCGGGGGCCGGGAGGCGTTGGCGGAGGGTGGTGCAGCATGGCCTCCTCCTGTGCCGGGGAGCCTCCAGCTTAGCCTCTTGCAGAGGCCTCGTTCCCTCTTTAACAGACTGTGTCTAGCCTTTCGCAGTGCCGCGGCACACTGAAATGCTCATTAAGGGGGGAGAGGGCGAGAGAGGGGCTGGCAGCCGGCTGTGCCAAAGTCCCGTGCCAAGGCCTGGCTGCTAGAGCTGTCCAGGAAGCCATTTGCCCGGCCCGCCACGCACTGGGGAGATTGGAGTTATTTTCCCATCTGAAGTCAGGGACAGCCACCAAAAAACCCAATTCGGTCACCGTGGAAGCGGGGAGGGTAGAGTGGGTCGGGGAAGTCAAAGCGTCGAAGTTCAATGATTTCCAAATATGTCGCTTATGGCCTGAACGCTTTATGTTTCTGTTTTTTGTTTAATATTAGCTGTAAAAGAAAGCATTGCTTGAGCTGGAAAATTAAGCTCTGTTTCCCATGTGCCAAAATGGAAACTTTTGATAATTTCAAGGCCTTTTTTAAAAAAATTGTTTCAAAAACAGGAAGCGAAGCAAAAGTAACCCTTTTTCAAAACGGTTTCATTTTCAAGGAATCAGCATTATTTGACAAGAAAGTTTCCTGAGCGGCACCACTGGCGTAGTCACTGATGTTTTTAGGCCTTTTTGCATAAACTTGTTAGCCATTCTTTTCCTTTACAGAAGATTTTCCGTGCCACATGCTACCCGATATGATAGGAAGTAGGCTGCTGGAGAGGGACTGACTTGGTTTTCAGTCAGCCCATTATCTGGCGGCTCCTGTTGTTAAGCACGAGCAGTTCTCGCCTCTTTCGGCCAAGCACCGGCGCTAGGAAGGGTCTGACGCTGCCTGCGGAGGACCCCAGCTCAAAGGGTGCCGGCACTTCTGAAGCGGCAGGGAAAACCAGCTGGCACCTGATTACGATGGGACTTTATTTATTTTGACGTGTGGTAGGGACCCCCTGTACCACCCACTCGGGGTTGATGCCAGTACTCTTGCACTGATGCTATTTTGGCGCTCGCTTTTGTGGTGGTAATCGTGAATGCAAGTGTCAGACATTGTAAAAGCTTTTGTGGTCGTTGAGTCTTCATAGCCCTGAAGGGGACAGTTCTTTATCGGATACCAGTGGTGCAACAGTAAGACTAGTTGTTTATTCTTTGATGAAATTCTGGGCGGGAGGACCAGGTATGAGCCATTCTCGAAGTCTTGCAGAGCTCACAGTTTTACAAGCAGTAGTCTTACAAACCAAGGGTGTACAAAAAGTAATGAAGGAAAGCAATGACTTAGAGTAATTGCATTTAAAATAAACATATCTTGAGTGCAAAGTATGCATGATGGTTGCTTGCCAGGATGCGTTTGATGGTGTAAGAAGTCTTGACTGAACTTCTTGATTACAGTCAATAATCCATTTGTTATCTAAATATGTCTGTCTCGTTGTTCGACATGTCACTAAGTTGTCCCAGCCATAATCTCTGAATTAATGCTTATCTTGCTGCTTAATTTATCTTGATATAAACAAGTCTGGTACTCCTCTTTACAGCCCTATTATTCCCAAAGGAAGATTATTAATTACCTAGCCAGCCTGTACCCGTAATAAACGCATTCCTGTGTCTCTCGGATGGCAGAATGGCAATTCCTACTGCCATATGTGGTCCATTTGATATTCCTTCTTGTTTTGGAGTAACACGAAGATTGTGGGAAATCAGTAATTGACAGTGCCCTTGCAGAAAGCGGCTGAAGTTTGCTCTGGTGTGGTTCTGCTGGCCTTGTGAGGTGTGTGCCTGCGAGGCAGGCTTTCAGAGCTGCCCTGGCTCCTTCAGGTACTGTCTGTGCCTTTGAAAGTGTGCCCATGCAAGTGCTAATTGGTGTCCTGCCCCATGGCATCTACTGTTATTAGCACATCCTGATATTTAAGTGTATTAGAAAAGCAGAAAGCGTTTTTATATTTGGCCTGGCTTTTATTCAGCCTCCGGATAAGCAGACAGCATTTTTGCTGGGGAAGAGAAGAGGGTGGCTCTTTTTTTTTTTTTTTTTTTTTTTTTTTTTTTTTTTTTTTGCTTGCGTTTGTTAGGGATTTTTCTTTTTTTAAAAGTTTAATTAAGGAGAAGGAGAAAAAAGGATGAGCGCGCTGTGGAAACCCAGATAGCTGCGCTGACAGGAAGTTGCATGAGGGCTTTTACAGCCAACCATTAGGAATGCGGCGAATTGGCTGGGACCGCGGGCGAAAACAAAGTAAGGTATACGATCCATACTGTGCTCCAGCTGGAGCCCGCGCAGGAATGTGCAGCAGCGCGTGGTGCCAGGGCTGTCCTGGCCGAGCCAGAGAGCCCTGCCGGCCTCCTCTCCTCTCCCCTTCCCTTCCCCCTGCCGCCTTCCACATTCTGAACTGATTAAAACAGAGGAAGTAGCACATTGAACGTTGGATCTGGCTCGAAAATCGAAGTTGTCTTCTCGTTCACAAGGAATGGATTGTTTCAACTTGTTGTGTCACTGCTGCTGGAGAGAGGGGAATTTTTTTTTGTCTCTGTAATGTTTGATACTTGAGGGAAAACAGCTGGAACTGAGCATACTGGATCAGATGCAAAACGAAACGGGATGCTGGGGAATATGGACTGCACTGTATATCTGAAAAGGTCAGAGTTTTCCCTTGGTCAGTGCTGGAGGAATGTTGTGTCCATCTTAATTCCAGGCTCGAGAGCCTTCAGGAGGAGTGTAGGGAGCAGGGAGGAGGAAAGGAATATTTTGTAGCTGTGGCAGTTTGTGAGTGAGGCAGATGAGGTCTCCTCCTTCCTTTTCCTTCCCGTCCCTTTCTTGTGCTGCTGTTTTTGATTTTCTGGGAAGACTGGGGGGGAGGTGGGGAAGGAGAAGTCGTCAATGACAGAGCTTCAGTGTGGAGAAGCTGTTTATAACCAGGTTTAAACAGCAAGTTCTGAGATGCCAGACAGACCAGTGACTGACCCAAACCACAGGAGCATAACTGGTATGGTAAGAAGAGCCCTGGGAAAGAGCCCTGCCTGAAACGTACTGAGAGAGGACGTGGAAGTAGTTATTACACAATGCATGGGAAGAAATAAAAGGGCAGGAATGTTCAATGCCTAGGATCTTACGTTGCACAGATTTAGAAATCAAAATGGTATGTCACGCTTTCAGAAAAAGAAAAAAGAAAAAAAAAAAAGAAAAAACAGAAAACCCTCAGTAATTTAAATGTTTCTATGTGACCTGGGCTGAAAATATAACACCAGTTACAGAGCTGCATTGACACAGCGCGGCAGATGAGCTGGGTTAACTTGACTTGAAGGAGCAAGCCGTGGAACTACTACTTTATTAATATTCCCTTTGTTTCTTTGCCAGTCAAGAGAACAATCCGATGATGAAACAGAGGAGTCGGTGAAGTTTAAGAGGTTGCACAAGCTGGTGAATTCTACTCGCAGAGTCAGGAAGAAACTCATAAGAGTGGAAGAAATGAAAAAACCCAGCACAGAAGGTAAAAAGCAACGTGCATATGGTTAAAACTGCGTGTATGAATACATGTTTCTGTTGAGAGGGGACAGAAAGTGGAGGGCTGGAGGAGGGAGGGGTGGAGTGTTCTTAAGGGACAGTAGGAAAGACTGCCTTGTCTATGGTGCATGCCCTACCCAAGTACTTGCATTTTGAGACTGTGGAAGGAGGAAAATGACAGCCTAGGATGTGGTTACTGATGATCTGGTATTCCCAGAGCAGTGCTGGAGAGCCCCTCATTAAGAGATTAGAACTTGGTTTATGTTTTATGCCCCATGCTGGGGAGGGAATGAGACTAGGAGCAATCCCAGCCGGCTGCCCCGCGGACTCAGCAAGGAGGTAAGCAGAGCCACCACCACGCTGCTCCCTCCTCTGAGGCCTGGGACGGCACACAGGTGAAGCTCTCACTAGTTTTGGGAGGGTAGAGGCTGGTTGGTGGTGCAGTTGCACCACATGGCATCATCCTGTGGCAAAAGTACAGAAACTCTATCAGACATTCTTGTGGGATAGCGACTGCCTCCTGTAATATTAACTCCTACTTCTGGGGGAGCCTGCTTGCAGTTTGGCTGCTGAATGAGCCCTGCTGCCAAGAGAGAGGGGGAGAGAAGGGAGGAGGAGGAGGGTGGGGAAATGCGAAGCAGAGTTCTGTCCCTGGGAACAGCATGCCGCAGAATTAACTCCGGATGACCTGTGTCCGTGTGTGAGCACTCAGATTAATGGAGCCTGAGCCTCAGGAGCCTCTCTGCACAGCCCTGCTTGAGTCCTCACTGGAATTGTGGGCAGCCCTCTATGTTAGTGGCCTCCCCTCAGCTTTGCAGTGAGCTGAACCATATTATGATTCCTTCCTAGTGCATTTAAGGAGAATGTGTGCATCTTCTTGGGTATGTGGCAGGAAGCTGTTGGCAGATTTATGATCTAGCTTGCCTCTCCTGCATGATGGTGGTGTTACTGGCTGGCATGAAAGGCACAGCCAGCCCAGAGCTCTGGACCAGGCAGCTGTCTTGGTCTACAAAGGTTTTGTCACCTCATAGGATGAGCATAAAGCTGGGTTACTTGGAAGCAAAACCATGGTTTATGAGATGGGGCAAACAAAACAGGACATTTTTTCCCCTGCTCTGGGGACAGAAGGACCCCAGAGAGGCCTGTCCTACCCCCTCCCTCCCTCCCTGGGGGCCTGGGAAAAGCTGCAGGGAGCAGTCAGCCAGAGGCTGCAGGGGTGGGAGCAGCTGCAGGAGCAGGCAGCCCAGGGGCCGCTGGGCGCGCAGACGCCTTCTTGCAGTTTGACCAGACTTTCTCTTCAGCATGTTAACTGTTTTGCTCTCTGCTCCCTCTCGTATAGCGCTTCACCTCCTTATTTCCTTTTCTCCTTCAGTGTCCCAGTTCCTTCCAGTTTTTTTCCCCACAGTTTTCCACCCCTGTCCCCCACAGAAAAATCACTGAATTAACAATTGTCTCAAAAAAAAAAAAAAAATTTGCTCTGCTTACTTCTTTCTCCGTCTCCTGCCTGTCTTCTCTGTTTTAACTCCAGGCTTTTCTGAATAAATTATCTAGAACTCTGCATTTGTACTTTATCTGGCACTCTGGAGCTCCTTTTTAGATTGGCTCTTGGGAAACTGTAGCAAAAACAATTATTACTAAATAACAACATGGATTACTTCTACATAACTTCAACATAAGTAGAAGGCCCCTTAAATGTCCAAGTCTACATTAGGAGTAGGTATCTATGACTTTTCCTTCAGTAAATTCTCCCCACACCCAAGTTTTCATGTGGCAAATTTAAAGTGCTTCATAAATAAATGCTGTCCCTCCCCATATCTCATAATGTAGGTCTGTATTTCCATTTGGATATGTCAGAGGGCTCTGCCAGATGACAAAAAATACTGTAGTCAGATTTGGGGATTGCTGCCTGGCCTTCCAAGTTACCTGCAGTTGACTGGATCGGTTCTTGAGCTGTTTGCTGCTGTTATTTGAATCTGTGTTATGAATGTGAAGTAATGTGAAATCCTAGATGGCTAGGTTTTGGAGAGTTGGCTATAAAATTTCATTGAGTAACGTCAGTAAAATTTCAATAAATTCGTCAGTGTTCAACAGCCTTTAACAAAGTGTGAGAGTAGGCTTGGTTTGAAAACTGACGTGCAGTTCCCCAGAAGAAAGATTCCTCCTAATCCTCCTCAAAAATTTCTTCACAAAGAACAAGTTTGCCAAATTTCCCATATATGTTCCTGTAGTTTTTAAAGAAAAGTACACTAGTCCCAGATCCTTCTCCCACACTTCTGCTATTGACTCTGTTATCACACTACATATACATCTAGATGATCTGATACTCACTAGAATGTGCCAATATCTTGAATCCCTGTGTATTTTGTGTTAGTCTGCTCCTAGTGAGCTAAATAACTGAAGCTTCCTAATTCCTGGGCACCATTCTTGTATAGCATTTAAAAACAAATCACATCTACATCTGTGTCATTATGGCTTTGTGTCATGGACTCACTCCAAATAACATCTGTTACAGTGTTGACACACAATGCATATTTTACAAGCTGTTTAAAAACATATTTACTCAGTGTACTAAAATTGTTTATCAGCACATATTCAGTCCCAGGAGAATGTCTATTTTCTGTTCAAATTGAGAAGTTGAGCGGAAAAAGAGCAAGTTGGACAGTCCAATGAAATTGGTGTCAAAATCAGACTCCAATCTGCAGACCAACCCCCGAAAAGTACTCAAGAGTGAAAGTTGTGTGTCAGATGTGATCCACTATCCCTTCACTGTCACAGCGAGTTTTATCTTGGTAAAATAGCATCTTAGGTTTCAGCAAATACATGTCAAATATGTTTTGCCAACAGAGTGAACCGAAGGTGAGACAGGAAGCCTGTACAGGGCAAATAATCTTCTTTCGTCTTGAAGTGTGTCCCCTGTTATTCAATGAGCAAGTTTAGTAAACTATAGGTATTTTGGTAATGGTTCAAATTTAGCTCTGCTGTAAGACTGCAGAAGCAATCAAAGATGAAGGCAAAGTTGGGTCAGGCAAGAAATTTATTTTGGCAAGAAATAAATACAGTCACATTTCTGTGTGTTTCTGATACATACCCATGAACGCTGTGAAATTTGTCAGGCAGGACTGAGGAGGATGTGTACTCTTATTTGACTCTTTCCTTGTTACTGCATCTGATACCTCAGCCCATACTTTGCTCAGAAGAAAACGCCAGAGAAAAGTTTCTTAAATGATAAATGTGAAAAGGAATTGCAATTTTAGGTCCTTTATTCCCTTCTTTTCACTCCAAAAAGGAGACCTGGCTCTTTGCCCATCTCCAGTACTTGTGTTGCAAAAAGTCTTCTTTCCTTTCTGTGAAATATGTATTTACCGGGACACTGTTGAAATTGGCACACCCGCAATTTCACCTGCTTTTTTTTCTTTGCATCTGTTTAAGTAAATTCTGTGTGATTAAAATTGGTGCCTCTTCCCCCATCGAAAACGCAAAACTTTTAATTTCATCCTGGAGCTCTGCTTTCTGGGAAAAACACTGCTTTCCGCAGCAGCACTGGGTATTGGAAAACTGGACCTGAGAGATACTTGTTTTGTTTTTGATACCTGGGTATACTTCTGACCTATTATAATCTCACTAGAGCTGAGCATCATATGCAAGTATCAGAAGGAAAACGTGAGAAACAGATCCCAGTTCCAGCTTTTAAGGGGTTCTTAGTGAGAGCATCTGTGGCCTTGCTTAGCTGCAGATGAAAGAGAGAAACTTATAAAAACCGATGAGTTTACTTACAGGTTGCTGTCATCTGTCTACTGTTAACTCATCCCAGAACTCTCACTTCACAAATGGAAGGAACCGCTTCAGATTTATCCACTGACAAATACCTTCTGGGCTGCTTATATCAGGAAGAGTTTTCTTCCATTTTAAGTGGGCGATATCTTAAATAAATACAATAAGGCTCTACAGGGAAACGTCTTGGAGAATTATGAACAATGACATGCGTTGTGCTGCTTTTGTCCCCTGTAGGTGTGGAAGAGCACTCACTTGACAGCTCTCCTATACTGGATGACAGATCGGCACTTTACTCTGGAGTTCACAAGAAGCAATTCTACTTTGACGGCTCCTGCGAAAAGCAGCCAGAGGACAACTTGGACTCACTTACTACTTCTCCCTCATCCAGCAGTCTTGATACGTGGGGAGCTAACCGGAAGCTGGTGAAGACCTTCAGCAAAACTGATAGCCGTGGCCTTATCAAGCCTCCCAAGAAACTCGGGACATTTTTCTCTTACCCAGAAGAGGAGAAGACCCAGAAAGTTTGCCGCTCCTTGACAGATGGGGAAATGAAGAAGAGCCTCGGCTCGCTGAGCCACGGGGTAAGTACAGAAAGCATTTGCTTTTATGACAGCAACAGGCACAAGCACCATCTTCTGGTGTCCCTGGAGGAGATTCAGAGTGTAAGGAAGCAGATCCGATTGAAGAAAATGGATACTAACTATTCCTGTTCCAGAGCTTTTCTTTGCCAGCGCCCTGCTAGGAAAGGAGCATCTCCTGCAACTTGCGACCTACAATTACTGCGGCACAAAATGAAAGGGGGTGGAGGTTGTGGCTTCCCAAACAGAAGGCTACGAGGGCGCACTTCTGTCAGCGAGTTCAATATTACCTATGTGGTGGAGAGAAGCCTGTACAGTCACCTCAACCTCTCACAGCTGGTGCGTCCCGTTACTGACAGGACCCTGAGCAAGGCCGACAAGCAGGACCTGAGGAGATGCCTGCTGGAGGAGGATGAGGAGGCCAAGAGGAAGTGGGCTGCCACAGTGGATCGCTGTACTAAAAGGGTTCTCTTGAGAATCCACCAAAAGTCTGTGAGTCAAAGAGTTGCCATGAAGGTGGTCTTCCAGTTTCTGTGAGGTTGCAGTCAACACTTCCTGATTCATACTTTTAACTAAAATTCAGGGCTTCTGCTTTCCTTGCTGTTAGAAGCTCTTAAGCACTGTAATTCAGCTGTAAGGGAAGAGTTTGATATAATCCCGTCAGAGAAGAGTTTTGTTGAGTCTGCAGTTTCTGTGTGTCCAGAATAACTTAATGAGAGAGAGCAAATATGACAAAATGCTGCTTTTTTAAATTCACCTAGTGCAGAAATTGAGATCACTGGTGAACAGAGGAGCTTTGAGATGCTATAAACGTGTTCTTTGTGATGCTTTGGGAGTCGGTATTCTCTTACAGGGATACCGAGAGATGAACAAAATTTTCAGAGGATTAGAGCATCCTTAGTCAACTGTGCTCTATTTCTCTCCTGCTGTCATTGCCTCATATTGGCCCTCCCCTTCTCAGTTTGCATCTCATCAGTTGACCCACCCAGTTCTGTATTCTCCGTTACACACACAGCTACAGAAAAACAGGGAGTTTCACATTATTTAGGCGCTGCCTTACTGCTTGCTGTTCACCACCACCAGAAGTACCCTTTCTGCTCTGTCCGTGGCCACTGCTCCTTCTTTCTAGCATGGGGTGAAGGTGGCACTTTCCCTCAGAGCGTTGTGGAAAGGGAACAAGGGGTGGCCAAAAAAGGAAATTGGGCTGTACAATGGGAAGTTAAGTGATTTGAGCACTCCAGAGAGATCCAAAACTGCTTCCTGATTATATGACCCAGTTTTGACAGTTCCCTTAACCATCATGCTGAGTTTCCTAGGAGCATGCCTTGGGGGCCAGCCAAATCTCCAAAGCTGAGCCAGCTAGTCTGTTGTCTAGTTGACAATGGAGATAAGTTCCCTACTTCAGTGGGTGGAAACAGCAGTGCACCCGTAATGTTAAGCAAGATATTGCAGTGAACAATATAGTAGAAACAGCTTTTTCTCTTGAACTACAGATTATATTTTGAAAGGTCTCTGCTTCATTTCTTCAGGTATGAGGTATTCTTGATATAATTCACAGCCTTGGTCTCCTTGAATAGCCTGTGGGAGGTGACCAAGCTTTCATGGTTCACTTTTGCTCTTCAGCCACAAAATAGATAGGTTTTTTCTAGCCAATACCATAAATGTTCTCTCTTGGCAGCTTCACTATTTCATCTGCATTGACTGCTTGCCCTGCCACTCACAGGGTTCGGTTTATTTTCACAGACATTGTACTCAAAAGACATTGTTTTCCCATAAGGATATTACAATGATAAGAGAAACCTTACTCGTCCATCTGTGGGTTGAACAATAGAGGTATCTCGGGCAAAAGAGCATACTTGTATGTGCTAGAGATGCCCCATAATTAAAAATATCCTCTAAAACTGTCTTTGTAAATACAGATGACAGAAACAAACTTTTCAGTTCTTCTAATAAGTAGTCTTGCTATAGTAATTTCATTATGAAAACCATCTGGACTGACTTTTGCTAATTCACACAGATAGAAACAGAGCAGAAATGGATAGCGTGTTGTTGTTGAGAAACTCCACAGTCAGCTGCTCCTCCAGCCTTGTTTGAACGGGATAAATGGTGGAGGCACACTGCTTTTACTAGCTTTTTCAACACACTTCTTCCTGAAGCTGCGAAAAGCTGGCAAACTTCAACTAATACTACTCCTTCTTCCCAGAAACAGTCAATGTTTGTTTGCTGCAACCTCAGGGAAATTGCAACACCTATGTATTCAGTGGAATTGGTCACTCTGTCTTGCCTTGCCATTCATTTTTGTCATTTATATTTGTTTCAGTGACCTGGACATGCATGAAATTTTCAAATCGCATCAGTTTTTCTTTTCTCCCAAAACGATAATACTTTTGATTGCATGGCCATTCCATTGAATATCCCTCTCCTCATCCACAGACCTTTTGTTTGGTACAGTATTGCCAGGGTTGCTACTGGAATCTGAAGGCAGAAGTTAAACGTATGGGGAGGTCCATAATGAAACAATAAGCATCCTTAATGTGGTACATTTACTCAGAAGCTTTTAACCAACAGACATTTTGCTCGCTGAGAAGAGTGCTTTAGGAGGAGCTCTGGCTGGTTTGACAGACAAGTTTGCTCAGAGCGGGTCCTGATGTCCTGTCTTCGTTGCTGGGATTACTGTATACCGTAGGTTTAGTTAGAATGCACTCTTCACAGGACAACGTTACTCCTAGCTAAACGTGCTGTGCTTTAAAAGCTGATCTTGTTATTTGTGGTTGCTCTCAAATGCTTGCCAAAAACAATTTTTAAAAGCTATGCCATAGTCACATTGCCTTCTGGAAAGAAACACTTAAAAAAATTCTACATCACAGCACTCTTTTTAATGTGTGTGGGGCCTAGACAAAGCTGGCTTTGAGTTTTAGTAGAGTTGTGGTGGGTACAAAAACTGTCATCCAAGCACTGTAGGTACACAGCACCCAACATAAAAGCTAGAAAAGGAAACTTTTTAAAAGCTATTAGTAAGTATGCCGATTAGCAGTGAACAGGGCAGGAAGAATGTTTACTTTAATAGAACTAGTTGATATGATTGTTTATTAAGTGGCACAGTTTATAGAGCTTGCTTCTTCCGAACAGAGTGTCGAAGGAGACTGGTAGTTCTCAGGTGGTGGCTCTTCACTGACTCCTAAGTACACACTGATGGTACTGATTGGGCAATCCTTTGTAGGTCTGATCTGATGCTTAGCTGAGTCTTAAGGTCTCTTTGAAGTTACTCTGTTGGGTAGTTCAGGCCCTAAGAACTTCCAGTTCACAAGTGGTTGATCTTCTGCCTCCTGTTTGCCTCTAACTCTGAAGAGAATACTTCAAATAGACATCTGCCTGCCTTGCAACCCACATGCAGAGCCCAGAGTTGAAGTTGTGCAAGTAACTTGTAATTGCCATACCTTCATTTCCTTGGATTGCACTGTGAGACTTCTGGCAGGGCCAGGTACTTGAGTACTGTGCAGCTGGTTGTTCAGTGGCCGAATGAAAAGTCAAAGGTTTTACCTTTTGGACTGCAAAGCAAAAGCTGGATGCTCTCTGAGCCCCCTAAGTGTCTGGTCTTTTTTCAAGTGATACCAAAGCTTTAGCAGAGATTCATCTGCCACAGTTAAATAGTGGTTGGCTGTGGAAATGCACCTGTACTGACTTTGGTTGCTGTCTGCTGTTGGGAGGGAAGCAGTGTCATAGTGCTGATTTTCTGTTTTATCTGGGATGATTATGACAAACTGCATCTGTGCATTCAGCCAAAACTGCGTCACTCCAATAGGTGATTGTGGCACTGTAAACATAGTGTACTTTTTCCCAGAAGTAGCAGAGCTGCCACATATCGCCACAGGTGTGGTGGTGAATACCTAATCTGGAACCAGGGCTTGCTGAGTCTCTGGGCACACAATGCTTATGGATAGCCGGGCTGGTTTTTCCCTCCTCTTACCAAGGGCTTGCCCTACAAGGCCTCTAGCATTTCCCTGTATTTCAGTGGAAATGGAGTCTATGCAGCTATTCCCAAAGGTAGGTTATTCAGTGCTTTAAAAGATTGGTGGTTCTCTGTTTCAGTGCTACTGTGGACTTATTTATGAAGGCAGACGGGAGTGCTGAGGTGGAGTTGCCAGCACCCTGGAAAACTTGATGCATAAGATCAACAGTTTCCTCAGACCAAAAAGTCTTTTTTCTTTTTAAAAAGAAAAGTAGGCAATAGATGACTCAACAGCAGCAGACCTTAGGCCAAGGAGTTGTCTCTGGAAAAGACGAATGACTCAAATTGCTTTATAACAGATTTCTTGATTTATAATCTCCCATCCTTTTGTTTGTTGGTTTGTTTCCATTTTTGTAGACGTTTGTGTTTTCACTGGTGTTCTCCAAATCACAGATGTTTTGAGTGAGCTAGTCATTGTGATAGAACTGTATCCATCCTTTTTTTTTTTTTGCAGAGAACCTGTAGCTTTGGAGGATTTGACTTGACAAATCGTTCTCTTCATATTGGAAACAGTTCTGACCAAATGGTGAGTTTAAAACAAGAAGGCGCAGACTTGAAATAGCATAAAATGAAATGCGCAATAGAGTTATAATAGACTGAAGTGTAATTTAGGTCTGTAATAACTGTTTGGGGATCCAAGAAAGCAGAGTATCTTCGTTAACCTCAAACTTCCTTAGCTTTGAGAATAACATACCCACCCATATCCATGTGTGTGTAAGTATTTATGTACCATATGTGTAAAGAGGCAGGAACAAGTGATCAAAGAGCAGGTCTGGGGGTATGTCTGTGGGCTAGTCTTATGTCTGACTTCCTCAGAGCATCACCCCAGACAAAACATATAATTATTATACTTTCTTGGTAAAAATATTTACTATTTGGAGTGATGAGGCAAACTTTCATTTGCTGAAGATCTGCAAGTTATTTGGGTGGAAGTCATTACATAAGAGACTTATTATTTGTTTTCTCATTGTATCTAAGAGCTCTGGAGTAGACCAGGATCCCATTGTGCTGGGTGCTGCGCAATTGATCTCAGAGCTCTCTTTGTCTTTAAAAAAAAAAAAAAACACCTCCCCTGAGAATTAATTCCATTTTATGTTACTCATGTTGATCCCAGTGTTACTGTTGGTCAGCCTGCGGCCAAAAATAACAGAATAGAAATGAGCCAGAACATTATATCAAATGAAATTGCCAACATATTTTTTCCTTTTGCCCATATGTTTTTCTTTTCTGTTTGAACATTAGCTCTGATAACTTCTCTGTTCACTTAAATCAAGTCTAAATTCTGAAACATTTTATATGCCAGCATTATATTATTTTTTTTTTGTCAAATGGGTTTTTGGAGTGGGTTTTGGTTTTCTGATTTTTTTTTTTTTTTTTAGTAGCACAAATTACCCCTCAACTTGCCGAAACTGTGGGTGGTTGTTTTATTCATCAATTTTCAACTCAGTAAAAAAGTTAACTTCCAAAGTTACAGTGTTTATCTTTAAACATAGATACTTTGGCATATTTTGTTTGAATTGGTTTTGATACAGGAAAGTGTGAAATCTAGATGTTACATTTTTCCCTACTAGGATCAGGAGTGGGAGAGAGGTAGTGCACCAGAACAATGTATGCCGATCAAGTTTTTTTCCTTGAAAATGTTTAAGTCCATTAAGTGGAAGGTTTTTTCTTTCCAAAAAGATAAGGCAAAGAGCTGTCCTTAATTTCTGCTAAAAGACCAAAAGTTACTAGAGAAGTTGTAATCACAAACAACTTGTGAAGGAAAAGAGACAGAATTGCCAGAAATGAAGTATCAGCTGAATTTCAGAGAAGCTTTTTGGGAGAACATTAGTAAAGTAGCAAACATATATAAACTTAGAAAAAAAGAGAAATCTTTTATGTAAAATATAGTGTACACTTATTTTAGTGTTTGTTATCCTATGTACCTAAATTGTCCTCAGAAGGATTACTGAACCGAGTCAGAGACCAAATTCAGTAGTCAACCTATTTGGCCAAACAGATTTTGGTCCTTTTTGCATTGTGATTTTTGGTGCACCCTTGCCAGTGGAGGGTGCTGGTAATAGCTCTAATAGACCTGCCTTGCTGTGGTTCCTGGCACACTGTAGAACGAAAGACCGTGTCTAACATGCTGCCTGGACAATCTGAATAAGGGCGGAGTCATACAAGCAAGTTTGGCAAAAAGTCAACTGATCCATGTTAATTCTTCATGTGTGCTTATAGCATAAGTAAATGCTAGGTATCTTAAGCTGGTTTAGAAAAGGTTAAATGCCTTCAAAACAGTTGGCCTTTGTCATCCACTATATATGGACCAGCTAATTTAGTTTGGCCGTACCCTGTTGTGTGTCCTAAGAATAGCTGTGCAAGTGTAACTTTCTACCATGGTTGATGGATTTAGTAGCTTTTTTTGCCTTTTTTTTATGAACAATCCACAGTAAAACCACAAAGACAGTCATCAAGAGATGTTAACTGAACGCCTGCCTGAAAATAAAAAGTAAATTTGGGTAACCACATGTAGGTATCCATATATATATATATACACACAGATATATATTTGGCTAGAATCTCAGAGGTACCTTTACTCTTGTTAAACTGCGTGTAGTATTGACTAACATGAGCCACAACTATTGTTGTATCTGCTGTCAGGAGGGCTTAGCCTGAAACCATGGAGTTCTCTATCAGGTCACATACTTACCTGAAACTCAAAGGGATAAAGGCATCCTAACAGACCCCAACACATCTACACACAGTACCTGCAGAAAAGGTTACAAATCAGCCCTTAGAAGTAAGGTACAGTGGACTGCTACACTGGTTTGCACAAGGTCTCAACAGTGAATTTAGAGCAGTAAACAAGACACCATGCTGCCGTCCTGCATCTGCCTGGGTACCTCTGCAATGACTGCTGACTGAGGAGAAAAATGGTTCTTGCATTTTATAGGCTTAAACCCTGTTTTATTTTGCAGGGCAAAGAAGGAGACTTTGTTTATAAAGAAGTGATCAAATCACCGTCTGCCTCCCGTATATCTCTGGGCAAAAAGGTGAAGTCTGTAAAAGAAACCATGAAGAAAAGGATGTCTAAAAAATATAGCAGCTCTCTGTCTGAGCAGGTATGTAAGGTCTGCAATGGAATCCACTTAATAGTGTAGAAGTGATAATCAATATTGATTCCCATGCTTCAAGGCATCTCTGAAGAAATTTCTAACAAGACTATGTGGAGTGGCTTATTCCTATGTTCTTATAAAATCCCTCACTGTGAAATGGCTTCCTATAGATGCCAAACCATGAAAATGCATTTTCAGATTTTCATTCAAGTAGCTCATCAGCAGAAGCCTGTGGTTGATGGCATTACACATCTCGCTCTATATTTCCATTTCTTTATCTATCATCATTATTTATTAAGGCAACTGGTCTGTGACACAGGGTCACAGTAATATATTTAATCTGCAATTGACACCTTAGTTTAAATTCCCAGCGTAACTTCGCATACACAGTTCCTTTCTGCTATTACAGATCTTTTCTCCATCATAGCTTGACCTCTGCAGAAGCCCATTAAAACAGATGCACAATGTAGTCAGAAAGGGGCATCCCACAGAAGATTTTCCTATTATTCTTTCATTACAGATTTTTATAGCTTATTCTTAAAGGCAAACCTGAAGTACATTAGTTGTAAATTAGGCTTTGAATTTCAGTGGCCTAGAAACAATTTGGCATGCTTTGGTCCTTGCTTTGGTGGAGTGTCAGAAATTCTTCAGCATTTGTTTAAAGCCGATCTTGCCACTTAAATGTGTAAGCAATAGCTTAGAAAGCCGCCAGGAAAGCAGACCTCTCTCTGGCTGACGTCGCCCTCAAGTGGTCTCGTACCGGCCGCTGGATCACCGGGGATGCTTGCAGCCATAGAGAAATGGAAATGGAAAGGGAGTCATGCCCCACCAGATCTGCCTTTTCGTATTAATGCAAAGCATTAGTGCCTGTAAAAGGAGCAATTCGTAAGATTCAAAATAACACCCCCAGACTGCAAAATATGGAGACAGCATAGAGAGGCAGAAAAGTGACCAGTTTTATGCAGTGCTGTGCAACATTAGAATCCCTTTCCTGTAGGACTAATAGCCATCCTTATTCATAACCAGAGGCAGTGCTACAGTTATGGTTATTTAATTTAAATTTACAATTAAAACTTTTTAAGGTCTAACATGATTTGATATTGATAAGAAGATGCTTTGGTGTCTGACTGCCCTTACAGTGCCCCTCTGCAAAGTCTGCCTAAGAAAGGGATACTTTGAGAAATCGGTTTACAGTGAGCTAGCAATACTTCTGCTCTCTAGCTCTCTCCAAGATTGACTTGACCTCTGAAGCCATATGCTGGGATGACTTTTTTTCTGATGATTCTGCAGCATGCAAATAATAGCTTTCATCTAAAAGTTTTATGACCACACATCTCCACAGAAACTCTTCTTGTATGCAAGCTACAGTTCTTTTGTTTTCAAACTTTTTGGCACAGTCATTTTAGGATATTTCTACCTCTCTGGCATCATGACTCAAACTATGTGCCAGTATCTCTTTCTGCATTCAAAGAAACAAGCAAAAGCTATTCTGGCGCAAGTATCTGCTGCTTTGCTTTAACTGTGCTTTGCAGAGGATGACAGAATTTCAATGTAGGAAAGACCCTTTTTGATTTCCTGTAATGCTTGACTGAATGAAAAGAGAAACTGCCTTACCTATTGCATATGTAGCAAAATCTTTTTATATTTATGCATTTATGTTTATGAGTATTTATACTGTGCACAGGCTGCATTTTCTGGTTAATTCTTTCTTTTTCTTCAAAGTAAATGAGCAAAGATATCAACAATTCACTGCAAGAAAAAAAAAGTACATTGCCGTGTGTCTCACTTGCATTGTCTGATTTGTTTGTATTCATCTTTGTACAAAATCCTGATTCAGAAAGCTGAATTTGGCGTTAACTGTTGTGCAAGTATTGCTGGCAAAAATATCATGTGTAATTAAAAATTTTGAATTGGCAGTTTTGTGTAATGTTTCTTTCTACATACAATGCTAGCTTTTTCAGACTGGACTGTTTGCTCCTGTCCCCGCTATCATGCCTAATAAAGTGGGGTTTCTGCCACAGCTGAGTCCCATGAAATAAGTAGATAAACACAGAAGGCTTCATCCTGTCTGGTAAAGAGCAGGAAAAGAGAATCTCTTTCCTTGGAGATGAAGCAGCAGCTCCTGTCAGTGCCTGTGTTCATTTACCAAACTGAAATGGTTCAATCCCTTTCAGGAGTCCAGCCCTGGGGTCATGCCAGGTTCTCCGCAGTCGCCGCCGCCAGACACTGACTCCCTGGATAAACCCAAGCTGAAAGCCGGTGGCTCAGTAGAGAGCCTGAGGAGTTCCTTAAGCGGTCAGAGCTCAATGAGTAAGTTCGGTTGTAATTGCGTTACTCCATTTCTGTGGCTTCAGGGAGCAGAGATCTCCACAGTAAGCAGAATCAGAGAAAGTCAAAGCAGAAGCAGTGGTTAAAAAGTAGAAAGGCTGATGCGTTAGTCATTTAAGGGTTTACAAAGAACCATAAGCTCTTTGGTGCAGACACAATCTTTTTTGCTTTGTGTTTATACAGAGCCCTGAAAAAGTGAAATCCTGCTTTCTGGCTGGGTCTGCTGGGTCCTGCTATTATAGTATAAATGATTAGAGTGAGAATTACCGTTCTTGGCCAGTAGTAAACAGGCTCGTCTTTACACTAGATTTCTCCTGGGCACTCCTGATGGACTTCCTTGAGGTTCTCTTGTTAATTAGTTAGAGGAGTATTATTTAAAACCTCTCTGGTTAAGATTGTCGCTACACAAAACAGAGCTTAAGTGGGACACAGATGTTGTAGAACTTGCTTCACTATGGATTACTGACCGTTAGAAACAAAGAACATACAGGGGGAAAAAAAACTGAAGAGAAAGCTCCCGTTTTTAAATAACTGAAAGTGTATTCTGGAAATCATCTGCCTTTTTTTTTTTTTTTTTTTTTAATATCAATACAAAGTGTTGCCATAAAACCAAATTTCTGGACATGAAGGGGATTCTGGAACCCTCATGCAGGATTCAGAGCTTATTTTCCTCACACCACTGTGCTTTTTTGTGGGCACAACTTCCCAGAAAGCTGACATCTCCTGTGAGGTACCATAGATGAGACACTAGTTAAGCAGCTTCTCAGTTAAATATTGAGGAGTTGAATTTGGGAAAAGAGGAGTGCGAAGTAGATAACTAACTCTCCCATCACATGTGTATATAAGAAATAGCAGCATTTAAGAATTTTTAACTTTGATTACCATGTTTTGTAGAAAGAAGGCCCATTTTCTGTCTTGCCTCTGTTTGTTTCTGAACCTTCTTCACAAAGAGGTTCTTTTTTGTGGACTGATACAATGTCTCTCACACAGGTGGTCAGACAGTGAGCACAACAGATTCCTCAACCAGCAACAGAGAGAGTGTGAAATCAGAAGATGGTGATGATGAAGAGCCTCCTTACAGAGGACCTTTTTGTGGAAGAGCTAGGGTTCACACTGATTTTACTCCAAGTCCTTATGATACAGACTCTCTGAAGCTCAAGGTACCAGCTATATCTGTTTTTTAAGGCGTCAAACATTTATATTGGCAAGATTGTTAATTAAGAGCTCTTTGCAAGAACCGTACAATTCTTAGTCTTTTAATGAGTTTACATGTGGTTTTTTGAAGCCCTTTAACCTGTCTTATTCTGATACATTTAAGATTTGCCTGAATTATAGCAAAATGTTATAGAGCATAAGTAGTAAGTATTAGTATTTCTCCACGCCCAGGGAAAGACACTTGTGTCTTTTGTTTCGGGGAAAAATAAAAATGTGCCACAAATTCATTTCCATTTCACAAGGATTTTGTTTGAAAGATTGGAAAAATACTTTGTCTGTCGCAATAAATTAAGCCATCAATGGAAAAATTTTCAAAATCCTTGGAAGAAATGTGGATGCGCCTACGCATACAGTGTCTCTTAAAGGCATTTCAGTTAATATAACTTTTTTTGAGCTAATATTGAATTACTTCGCTGATTTGAGTTGTCACACCCCCCCCCTTAATTTTTCTGGATATAAGATTTTATTATTTTCAGTTGTGCTGTATTCAATTCAAACTATCTGACTCCCTACATGCATTACTTAAAATTCCAAGGGCAGCTAACTCCTATTAAAGCAGTAAGGTAATCTCTTCAAGGATACAAAAACAGTTGTGTGTCCATTTCTTTTTTATGGTCAGGAGCACATTAGGAAAAGCAACAGTGTTGCACGGTTCCTTCTGCATACACCCCCTTTCCTCAGGAGATCTCATGTGAGATTGTGCCCATATACACTGCACATGTTCTTATTTGCACCAATTTCAGATAGTTGCACAGCTTAGAGACATTTGTACAAAACAGCAATGATGCACTACTGGGGTGTAAGCAGGTTTGCGAATCTGGACAGTTGGGGTCCATTCCAGGTTCTTTTGTTGACTTGCTCTGTGGTCTTAGGCATGTCACTTAATTCCCTTTTCTTCCATTTGTAAAACAAGTATAATCAGACATTTTTGCAAGAGCTGCAATTAACCTTTTGAAAACTAAAGAGTGTTGTCCATTCTGTGTACGTGAAAATCTAAGAGAAAGTGGGTGTGTTTGCTTGAATATCCATCAGAAAGCATGCCTAAATGGCTTTCTTGCTGCTTTGGTCTACAGAAAGGTGACATCATTGATATAATCAGCAAACCCCCCATGGGCACTTGGATGGGCCTGTTGAACAACAAAGTTGGCACTTTCAAATTTATCTATGTGGACGTGTTAAATGAAGAGGAAGAGAAGCCGAAGCGGCCCACCAGGAGACGCCGGAAAAGCAGACCACCGCAGCCCAAGTCAGTTGAGGATCTCTTGGATCGCATCAACTTAAAGGTCCAAATTCTCTCCTTCTGTTTACCCTTCAGTTTTGCTTGTGGGAAGGGGGCCACACCTTTGGAGTTGTTAGTTTTGAAAGCTGCACACCAGATTCATAATCCGAAGGATCATGACACCACTTAGCAGAATCGGGTCTTAGCTACAGTGAAAATAGCTGAGTCCAGGCAGAACTGCCTGTCAGGCTTGCTGAAGTGCTGCAGGCTGCAAGTTGTATGCACTCGGAGACCATAAATCGTTGCATAGTATGGCTACTAGCTAACACACTTCAAAAGCAAGCAAGAAGTGTAAAATAACAGTAGTTATCCTGTCTTTAAAGAGGAAGGTTTTTTTCCACGTTTCTGTTCAGAAGAGCTAGGGATAATGCAGCTGTCATTCACCCTTTGTACTTCTCCCTTCATACAGAGCTGTGCCATGTTGTGCATCCGGGTAGCATGCTACCCAGGCCATTTAATACAGTGCGTTCCAGATACAAAAATATGTTCAGCATTCTAGTTCTGGCACAGCTACGTCCCTGAACTCTGAGCAATGTTTATACAAGCTATAATCTTATAATTTTGCTGCTTTACAGTGGTTTGCATTTGCTAAACTACTGCTTTTTTTTGCTGGTTGTGAAAATCTCCTCTAGTATCTTTAATGACAAAATAAGTTGAATTAATATGTTGTCTTACAGCTCTTTTTTTTTTTTTTTTTTTTTTTTTTTCTTTTATGCAGGAGCATATGCCCACTTTTCTGTTCAATGGTTATGAAGATCTGGATACCTTTAAGCTTTTGGAAGAAGAAGATTTGGATGAACTGAACATCCGAGATCCTGAACACAGAGCTGTTCTCCTCACAGCAGTGGAACTTCTACAGGAGTATGATAGTACGTGGGATGTTTGAGGTTTTCGGTTTTACTAGAGCTCTGCCAAGAACCTTGTGAACCCCCTAAAGCAGAAAACTGCTTCCAGGATTTTGATCCTTTTTTTTTTTTCCTAATCTAGTTATTTTTAGGGTAATCCTGTGTAACAGCATGTAGATTTTTGAGGAGTGACTTAAGACTTGCATTTATTCTGTCAGAATTCTTTTGTTCATGGAAGCCTTGCTGCCCAGCTTATTCAAGTGATGTCAAGTGTACAACACATACCCTTTAGAATACTGATGTTCAGGAATAAATCCTGAGATAACCTACTCAAAATAACAAGCTGAGGCATGGAGAATAGGAAAGAAGAAACTTCTAGACTAGAGGGAAGAGATTGAGGTTATCAAGGGTAAGAAAAAGATCAAAGCCCAGAGGGCTGTGGAGAAAGGTAATGTGAATTAAACTTTCTCTTATTTTACCCGCACATGGATATGATTCTTGGACTGTGAATTGCAGGATTGTACAGGTAGCTTCAGGTTGTACACATGACAACACAGCGATTTTCAAAGGGAGAAAATATATCAGTCAAGTGCAGAGTGAAAGACAGTGACCCAGCTATCTAAGGTGCAGCAGTTCAATTCTGCCCATCGTACAGATGGTCTCAGGCAAGTGATTGTGAAGATGAGGGAAAGCAGAGTAAGCCATGGCAGTCAAATTCAATGGCATCTTTGCTGCACAGGAGGAAGCAGGGCTGTGCCATCCACGCAGTAGTCATGGCAGAGTCATGGTAGAGTCGAGTCATTTGAAAAGCAAGTGTAGCTTGAGACAGGAATTTAGATGCTCTCAATACCTAGTTGTAGCAACCTAAGCCAATGCTGAATTTCCCCTTTATCCCTAAGTGTCAGCAGAAGTATCCCACAGAGATGAATCAGTGGAATGGATGGTGTGAGGGCTTTCTCAGCTGCTTCTGTGCAAAATCCTGTGTTTTAGCTTAAACTGCCATAGCAGCAATTTAAACAGCTGCATATTAAGTGGGCAATGTTTAATTCTGTTATAGAGAGATGTGTGGTTAGTATCTCTAGACAGTGCTGTGTGGCCTGAGCTTTCACTGACACGTAGCTTTCTTGTTCATTTCATTTCCCAAAGAGGCATCCACACTTTCTCCTCCCTCCTCTACCCCCCAGTAAAACTGCATTTGCATAATTAGATTCTTTTCACTTATATCGGAGTAGCTTTTCGTCACCTAATATGAGCTTCCCTTCATTATTTGCAGACCTATTTAGAATGCTCACTTCCCTGAAGTAATAATTTTTTTTAAGGCCCTTCAATTTTGGTTTGAAACCTTGAAGAACTATGTGATGTGGTGGTTGGAAAGTATAAATTCCAGCTCCAAGTCAGGGTGATGAGGAGAAAGAGAAGTGGGGACCAGACAGCTGGAACCTGGGAGGAGCAACAGCACTTAGTTCCACCCCATAATTACCTTTTATGTGCTGAGAATAGGAACTGTAATAGCCATTTCTGACGTTTTATTGCAGGGGAAAAAAAACACAGCATAAACTATATCCTTGCAGCATGAAGCCGAGTTTCTATATCTTCAGCTCCAGATTTAGTTTCTTTACAAAATATGATTTCTGACCAAACATTCTGGGTAAATTCCTGAAATCCAGCCTATGCAGCCTGGATGGACCACACTTGAGTGTTGGCTCTTCGCACAGACCAAGAAAGGAGGGAATTTTTACCACTAGTCTCTCCCTTGTCCCTTTCCCCTTCATTAGGGGACACTATCTAACTTTGCCAGACCCACTCCTGATCCTTCCTCTTGGTCCCTTCTGGAAAGTAGGTCAGGATTAGGATTTTATTCTTTTTTACTTGATTTGGTTCTTTTCAGTGCTTTTTGCTTTTGTTTTGGGTGTTGGTGTTTTTTTAAGTCTTAGAAAGAACTTTGACACCATCATTTTAAAATCAATTTCCATGACTGTAAGCTGCAGGACTTGGCCCCAAGGCAGCTGAGGCGCACACATGGTCCATTCTGCTTTCATTATGTACCACACTGCTCCCTCACACTTGTGCTGAGGCTGTTGCTTAATCCTTTACCAAACAGGATGAATGTTTGCAACATTGTGATGGCTGTTCCTAATGCTCACTCTTTTCTAAAACAGTGATCTGATACAACTAATAAAACAGGAATGATCATAGACGCGTTTAGGTTGGAAAAGACCCTTAAGATCATTGAGTCCAACCGTTAACCTAGCACTGCCAAGCCCACCACTAAACCATGTCCCTAGGCACCACGTCTACACGTCTTTTAAATACCTCCAGGGATGGGGACTCAACCACTTCCCTGGGCAGCCTGTTCCATGCTTGACAACCCTTTCGGTGAAGAAATTCTTCCTAATACCCAGTCTAAACTTCCCCTGGCTCAACTTGAGGCCATTTCCTCTGGTCTTACCGCTTGCTACTTGGGAGAAGAGACCGACACCCACCTGGCTACAACCTCCTTTCAGGTAGTTGTAGAGGGCGATAAGGTCTCCCCTCAGCCTCCTTTTCTCCAGGCTAAACAACCCCAGTTCCCTCAGCCGCTCCTCGTATGACTTGCTCTCTAGACCCTTCACCAGCTTTGTTGCCCTTCTTTGGGACATGCGAGATAATGGTGTTGGAAATGGGAGGTTGAGAAGTTCAGCCGGATTTTCTGTTTGCCTGTTTTTCACTGTATTCTCACATCCCCTAGGTAACAGCGACCAGTCAGGATCTCAGGAGAAACTTCTCATTGAAGGCCAAGGCCTAACCGGATGCTCTCCTCGGGATTCTGGTTGCTACGAAAGCAGTGAAAACCTGGAGAATGGTAATGGTGACAGCAATGATCCTTATAATCGCTGCAGCCTTTTTTCAGTAGAGAACTTCATACAGTTTCTGCTCCTGTTCTTAACTAACACAAGCTACCTCATGCTTGACTTTCTCTCTTGAGCCATTGGTTTTCATTGTTACTGTTTCTAATTTATTTATTTGCATTGGTAGGAAACAGATCGCATTTCACAAATCCTCTTTCTTTTGTGATCCTAAGGCAACAGGCACTCTCGCTGCCATTCCCTGCCTTCTCCACTCCCTGTCATATTCTTATGCAACCATGCCTCATGAGGCTTGCACTACTTACGCTCCAACAGCCCATGCCTAAGGGACCACTGGCAATGGAGACGTCACTGAACTCCACTGAGATTAGGAGGATTTCTTCTAAACCCACCCAAAAACTGTTTAGAAAAAATGTTCTCTGTTTTAGGCCATATTTTTGTGTTTGCTTAGGTTGCGTGTTGCATTCTCCTCTGATCAGAAGCCAACTTCAGAGATTTAGGACTTTTTAGTGTATGAACACCAGCAAGTTAAATTAATTGAGAAGTTGGCAAGGAAATAAACTATGAAAAAAATGCTTATGATATCAATTCCCATTTCCTTATCTTGCATCAGTGAAAGGTGAGGCACTGAAAAATTGCCAAGACAGATGATAATAGAGATCACTTTCTCTGTTCTGAAGAAATCATGTTGTTGTGCTGACTGAGCATGCTTTACTTGAGGGATGGTGTAAACTTGTCAATAGCCATGAAATATTAAAATAGATGAAATTAGTCTGAGTTTGGCATTATCCCTCCAAGCATTTGAGCCATGGCTTGGCCTCAGACTGCCGGGTTTCATCACTAACATCCAGCATAAACAGGAAACCACACACAGAATAAATAGAGATACTGTACACCCCTTGTAGCAGCTGTTTTTCCAATTTAAAATATGAGCTAAAGATCTTTCTCTTCGTATGTGCATTTTCTGTCAGTGTGCCGCTCAGAAATAACCATTTATTGAAGAAAATTGCAATTTGCTTTGAAGCTGAATGCCTGCAATCGGCAATATACTAAATTCCTGAAGGCAGAGAGAATTTTTTTCTTGAATGTGAATCCCCATACAGTAGGCATGCTGGAATATAATCATAGCTAAATATATGGCATATGTGACAATTTTCTTTCCTTTTTATCTCTAAGTGCCATCATAATGGTAGCTGTAGCACTGAAGTTAAATTGCTGCCTGTACATTTTCCTTATTTTAACAATATAATAAAATCTTTAGAAAGCATTGCCTGTCTGCTTAGATACTTACTATTACATTTAAACTAATATTTCTATCTGAGTTTTGCAGAATGTGAAATACCACTGATAATTTTTATATTGCTTTTCTTGTATGGCTTGCTGCATTTCTGCATCATTATTGCTCACAAATGCATTTAGTGCTTGTTTTGAAAACCGTTATGAAAAGAACATTGCGTATGGGATTCATTCAGAGATTTTGTCAAGGCTGGTTAATCTGCAAGGTGCTCCACCTTCTTTGCAAAGTTCATGGACCATAGTTGTTTATATGCATATTGTTTTCAAAATATGTTGGGTTCTCATCTGTTAAAATAAGGATAATCATTTGTCTAGTATAAACTCATAATGTGCAGGTCAGCAACAATAAACTGCGCTTCATAAAAGGGAAATGCATTCTGAGAAGGAATTGGTCTTCGGATTTTCTGGGGAACGGTTATACGTCATATTTCGATGACTGGTATAGTGTCCTGTTTTGGGCTGATATTGGACCTTTTGGCATCAGTTCAAGGCTTCAGAGCTGCTCTTGCATTTTGGCTAGAAAATGGTTTGCTGTGTACTATGGCAGTGGTACAGATGTATCTTTTATAGGTTCTTCTCAGGGTCCCACTGCAGAAATGTTTGGGTATTCTCATAGGTATCCACAATGTACTTACAGCAGCATTGTGATTTTATTCCAGTTCACAGAGAGCAAGGAACATACAGTTTGTGACCTATTCAGTGTTAGACAGGAAGAACGTAAGAGCAGAAGGCAACCATCCATGATCAGACCATTAGTCCAGATAGTCCAGTCCTCGGTTTGAAACAAGGCAGAGAGCAAGCTCTCCTTTAGCCTTCCGACAATGGTGCAGTTATTGGGCTTGTTTTGCATGCAAGCGTTGTCTGTCTGAGACACATTTGGAAACCGTATCAGAAATCTACTTCTCACAGGACTGGCCAAAAGCAGATAGCTAGAGAACAGTATAGGAACAGAGCAAGCATATTTGATACTTCCCAGGGTACTCTTGGGGAATGAATCATTTAAGAACTTAAGGACTTCAAAAATTGGGTACTGTTTCCTGGCATTCATCCATTTTCCTGAAACTGTTTCTCTTTATGAACATCCCTGGTCTTCTTCAGAACCTCATACCTAACAGTGTCTGTGTATAGACCTCTGTCATGCTCCTTCCCAAGTCATCTCTTTTCTAGTCTGAGAAGGCCTGTTAATTATTCCTTATAGGTCATTCATGTCCCTGATCATGCCTGGCTTCTTTGAACCTTTTCTTGTTGTGCTGTGTAGTTTTTTTAAGGAGAGAGGGGATGTGAAGAGATCAGAATTGCACATACAGTGCGCAGAGCTGAAGAAGCAGACAAACCATGGCTTTATCAGGTGGGATAAGGGTGTTCTCTGATTTGTTCAGAAACTGAAGCCCAGATTTCTGTAGTGCCAAGTAGGCATCCTAGGCACTTAAGCTTAATGCCAAGTAGGCATCCTAAGCACTTAAGTGCTAATTAAGTGAGAAAAGGAAGCAACAGAACAGGTGGCCACATTGCCTAATGTAATGTGCATTTCTACTAGTTTGTAATCAGTAAAAAAAGCCATGAGGCTAGGATTGTCTACCCTGCCATCTTATTTGTTATGTCAACAGAGCTGTTTGAAACGCACGCAAAATATAGCCACAGAAAGCAATGCCAAAATGAAGTTAAAATCTAGGATCTGGACAGGCCACTGAATGCATTCTGTGTCGGGTTTTAAGTACTTAAATTTCTGAGAATGATCTTCCATATAGGGAAAAAGTACGAAGAGAAATACTGAAAATTCGTTGCTGTAGCTCTGGTACCTCTGCAAATATTCCCCAAGATAATCTGCTTTTTTCTGAGGCAGATGATGACAGGGAATTGAAAAGTTCCTTCTAATAACGAGAAGTACCATGAGAGGCGAACAGTGCTTTGTCTAACAAAAACTGCACCATAACATTAAACAAAACAGTTGAAGTATGCCTGTAGCTTGAACTGAACCTGGAAACAATATAAACTTCCCATTCGTTTTGTGTAAGGAGCACCTTTGTTATCTTCATTTTTCACCCAGACACCTGTGTCCTTCTGCACACATGTAAATCAGAGATGGTACTGTGGTTGACAGCACTATGAAAGGCATTACACTGCTTAACTGTACCAGGGAATCATAAGAATGAATTCTGATCAAAAATGCTAACAGTAAAAATGTGTTGTAAACCTTACTAGCTATACACTTTAACCCTTGTAGATTTTTTTCATTTTTTTCTGAGATAGGGAGGGAATGTTACATTTGTGCATGTTGTTTGTATAGCTCTCCACTTTATGAAAACAGCTTAAAACATATTTAAGTGTCTGTTTTCAGGAAATATTACCTTCCTTTCTTAATGTCTCAGAAGCATAATGAAGTTGCACCTGGCAGTCAGGAGGAGGGAAGGGATAGCCAGAAAAAGAGAAACCACAGCTGCCCTCCTGATACTGCTCTTGACTTAAATCTATGTAAGAGAAATTACATTCAGAACCCCTGTCCTTTGTCCAAAACAGTAGCATTGAACCCAGCACTTTTTTTAAACCATTTTGAAGCAGAGAGCTTAAAGATTGCATGTTCAGTTACATACTTTATAGACAAAATGTTTTGAACTTCCTCCCATTCTCTCCACATTTGTATTTTCATGCAAAACAGGGCTGGAATGAACTGAAGATTTGATTTTACTTGCCCAAAATTTTTCTTTTCTCATTTTTCTTGGTTATTTCTTCTTCCTTTTCCTATTCCCCATTTCTTCTTTTTTTGATTCCCAGGCTACTGGCTGTACACAGACATATCCCATTTCTAAATAAATGAAATGTTGTTTACTAGATACCCTTATGGCCTCAATAAGAGCTTATATTGCACAGTAGTAGCATTTCCACAACTTTTCTTTCAGTCTTGAGGTTCCTAAGTATGCTTTCCTAAAACCAGTATAACCCCGATCAATATTTCAGATTGAAAAGAAGGTACATGGATTTTGTTACGTGAGCTGTGACAGCAAGCCCCAGAAAATATGGTGAATTACTGCACAAGTCAGACATGTACTAGCAAATATGAATAATGAAAAGAGAACACTCCTTTCCATACTCATTACATATTGACATTATTGCCTGAAGGCACTAAAAAATGAATGTAACATTTTTTACACGTCTTTTTAATGTGGTTGTAAGTTATTTTCAGAAGGCAGTGGCCTAACTCCATGGAAAGGTGCAGGCAGAGAAGTCTTTCTGTTACTTCTCTGAGCTACCTGAACCCAAGGTAGTAGCAAGGGAGCCAACTTAATGTGTGATGTGTCTTTATTAGCATTTTGGGGAGATGGTAATATTTAGCTTGAGTTGAGCTGTGAACCGTACAGCTTCTGAGAAAGGAGTTCCTGTATGCTTGCATTCATCCTTGTAGGCACACCTTGACTTTTGGATAGAATAACCTTGCTGGCATACTGGTAAATGCAACCAACTTTTTTTTGAGGGGAATGTTTTCCTTATTTCTCTTTAAATGCAGCCTCCGTTTTCTTTGCTAGTTTTCTGGATACTGTGTTTTTTAAACTCCTTGAGCAGAGAAAGAGGCAAGAGAGAGAAAGCAAGCTATTTCTCTTTTAGGTTAAACAGGTTCTTTCATTCATATTCAAAGTAAGCAGTGTATATTATTCAAAAGCCAAGCATTGAGCTTCTTTCAGGATAAAGCTTGGAAGACAAGCTGTATGAGAAAAAAGCATGTATTGCTTGAAAGTACACCAGATTAATTTAGTTCCAATGAAGTTAGCAAAATTTCTCAGATCTCTAAAAGTAACTGGTCCTTTAATTGGCAGCTATTGGTTGCCTGTTATTACAGTCGTTTGATACCATTTAGCCAAATCTGTTGGTTTGGTGTTTTTTCGGTTGCTTTGGTGTTTTGTTTTGGTTTTTTCCATTGGAAAAAGAAATTTCAACTTTCATCTATCCATCCTGATTTTAGAAAGCTTACTGTACGTGGGGGAAATGATCCCTGTCACCCTGAAAACAATAACTGTTCAGGATGTGCTGTCATCCCGAGAGGCTGTCTGCTTTGAGACAAATATACTTCTGTCTTGTTAAAAAGAAACTTTTTAAAAATCTATGCGGTATTTGAGAAATGACCTTGTATTTCATACTAATGAATACTCTAATGGCCTCAGTCTCTTTGATCAGAATTTTTCTGTCAAGCAGATTTGATGGACTTCACTGTTTAAAAACCAGTGGTGCATATCTCATAAAAATATCAAATAAAGCTTACAAAGGACAGGTGGTTCATATTGATTCATGTCATCTCAAGTGGTTATAATAAAACACCACATCTCTAAGACCTTCCATTTCAATAAAACACTATGACATGAGACTAACACTAAGATTAGTCGCAGCTGAAACTCCCTTTTGAAACACTTCTCCATCTCATAGTATAAGACCTCTTTCCATAAAACTCTGCTGTCTCTAAAAGTAACTTTACAAAGGGACTGGTGCAAAACCAGTCTTCCAACAACACTTTTTTGCTCTCTGGTTTGCCATTGTAAATAGTTTGCTGCTCATTTAAAAGATGAAATAACACCGTTGGCACACTTTGTAATTAAAATGAATAAACAGAATCTTTTTTTCTTTAAAAAAAAAGCTCTCCTGAGCAATCGAGTAAACTTCATTAGAAGGTGAACATAATTATCGATATCCAAAACAAATTAGAAAAGTAGAAAAAAATGGTAAGTCTTTTGAGTTATTTCTGTGTGGGGTCAGACCAGTTCATATAATGGGTATAGGGTATCAGTTCTAACTGTAGGATATTTTTACACTGAAAGAGGTTTACATGAGCTAAACCTCAAATCTCTGCAAATTGGGGAGTACGAAGGATATTAAGTATTTTAAATGTATTTTCCTTACGTGGTCACATTTACCAATTCTTCATTAATAAATCTGAAGCTCACCAATTCATATGCTTAAAATGGCACTTGAGTTCTTGTATGTTTAGAGTTAACAAAAAGAGAGTAAAGCATTTTGTTTCAAAGGCATTTAGAAGTGATCTGTTACTTACACTGCAGATTTTTTTTTTTAATGGTGGATTGTGATTTATTTGCTTCTAGGTAAAACTCGAAGGACCTGTCTTCTGCCCTCAAAATCAGCAAGTGAGCATAGCTTTAAGGACTTCAGCAGAAACCAGCTATCAAATTATCCTACGCTTCCACTGACCAAGTCAATAGAAACTCTACAGCAAGGACAAAAAGAAAGCCGGTTGAGTTGTGCGCATCGTGCTCTGAAGAGCTCTGTCAAACCTCCAGCTGTTACAGGTCTGAAGAAGAACCGTAGAAGTTTACCAGTTGCCGTCTGTCGGAGCTATGAAGCTCTGGATGGCCCCCAGAGTGTAGATACGTGGCCAAGATCTCACTCGCTGGATGATCTCCAGGGAGAATCCAATACTAACCTACAGGACGCCAGCAAGGAAGTAGGTTCTTTTCCTCAGGATTCACTGGATATAGCAGAAATGGCAACTGGCTCTGCACTGCCACCTCAGTCTCATGGAGGCAGCTGTATGGTAGATGACTTGATGGCTAAGCAGGGTAAAGGAGCTGCTAGTTCTCAGAAGGGAAGAGCTAAGGAATTGGACTGCTCTGTAATGGAGACTGCAGGTGGAAAGCCTGCTCCGTTCCCCCTGAAAAACTGTGAAACTCAGCCTGCCTTAGTGATGCATCTTGCAACAAGGATGCCTCTGGAAATACAAAGTAAAGGCTTTCATGACCTTGCACGGGCTGATTATGCTCCAGTCCTCAAGGGAGGTCTAGAAACTGAACAAAAAGGCACAAATGAGGCAAGAATGCAACCAAAAAATCCTTCTCAGCCGCCACCTGTCCCTGCCAAAAAATGCCGAGAACGCCTTTCTAATGGATTATATCACCCTTCCGTGACCGCAAGTGGGAACCACTCAAGTCTAGAAGCACCGTGTTTGCCAGTAAAAAAGACCAGCTCATCCACTCCTATTGATTGTCACGGAGTACCTGTCCATAGGACATCTTCTGAACAGGAGCCCAGTACCCCTCCTAGCCCACTGCCACCCTGGCTGTCAGAGCTCCCAGAGACTGCTAGTGTTCAGCAGCATGTGATAAAGCTGGGTCCTGCTTCAGCGAGGAAAGTCTCTTGTAGCAGGGGAATGGATCTGGAAATGGTAATAGAAAACAAGTTGCAGTCTGAAGACATTGATCTTACTGAAGAACCATACTCTGACAAAGTAAGTGGAGGACATTGCTTCAACTTTTTTATTCTACTAGCATTCCAAGGGATAATCTTTCATTTATTTGATCTGATGTATTTTTGTGAGTAACCAGCCTAGATAAACCATAAGTTATTGGGATATTAGATATTCTATAACTATGTTTGTCTTTACTATCAGGCCTTGTGCCTAAAGTAACTCTTGTGTTGGGAGGGGGGCTGAAAAATCTCAGACTTATTCTGGGATAACCTTCATCTTTTCAGGCCACTAGTACCTTGGTGGCATTGGGCACAGAAATGTCTCTTTCTCTGCTAGTGTGGGGAAGTAGAGCTGAAAAAGGAAGTCATGATTAGATTTTATGCTCCCAAGAAAATCTGAATTGATAGCGTAGTGATTAGGACATCTTTTTGGGAAGGAAGGAGTCCTAAGGTCCAGTCCTTCCTTCAGGGATTGCTTTTTCAGTTTTCATGGAATCTCAAGGAAAACTCCTTCTTGCTCCCATCCTGCACTTCTCTTTGTTTGCATTGATTGGTCTGTATTGATACACTTTCATCTATCCTCTCTCCTTTGTGTCTGGCTGGGAACATTCAGCATGGTCGCTGTGGGATTCCTGAGGCTTTGGTACAGAGGTACTCTGAAGACTTAGACCAGCCTGAAAAGGATGTTGCCACAAACATGGACCAAATCCGAGTAAAGCAACTGAGGAAGCAGCATCGTATGGCAGTGAGTATTTGCATAGACCCAGTTTTCTTATTTATGAGTGAACTTTTAAAAAGGACTGACCACTGGTAAAGGGAGATACCTGTGAAGTCCTGGTACACAAGTGCTCCCTGTGTTCACCCAGCAGGTACAACGTCAGTAGGGGTACTACAGGGGCAGGAGGTACCGCCCCCTGTCCCAAAGGAGGACAAGTTAGTAATTGAAAGGAGAGTGGATAGCCCTCTCTCTTGACTGAATAATAGTCTTGAAAGTCTAAACTGACTGCAAGCAGTGGTAACAGAGACTTGCTCGCTAAGGGTGGCTTGTATTAAACACTTCTGTATTGAAACACTCCTTTTTCATTTCTTAAACTATACTACTGTCCACTCCTCCTTAGCAAAAGCAGGAGGGGGAAACTGTTAAAAGCTTTCATGGGTTTTTATAAGAGAGCTTGGTCTGTCTGAGGAGGTAATAGGCAAAATTGGTATTCAGAGAATCATAGAATGTCCTGAGTTGGAAGGGACCCACAAGGATCATTGAGTCCAACTCCTGTCCCTGCATAGGACAACCCCAAAATTCACACCATGTCTGAGGGCGTTGTCCAGTTGGTTCTTGAATATTGTCAGGCTTGGCGCTGTGACTACCTCCCCAGGGAGCCTGTTCCAGTGCTCCACCACCCCCTGGGTGAAGAACATTTTCCTTATGTCCAACCTAAACCTTCCCTGGCATATCTTCCTGCCGTTCCCTTGGGTTCTATCATTGGTCGCCAGGTAGAAGAGACCAGCACCTGCCCCCCCTCTTCCCCTTGTGAGGAAGCTGTAGACCGTGATGAGGTCTCCCCTCAGTCTCCTCTTCTCCAGGCTGAACAGACTGAGTGACTTCAGCTGCTCCTCATACGGCTTCCCCTCGATACCCTTCACCATCTTCGTGGCTCTCCTCTGGACACTCTTTAGTACCTTTGTGTCCTTTTTGTACTGTGGCACCCAAATCTGCACACAGCACTCAAGATGAGGCCGCAGCAGTGCGGAGTAGAGCGGGACAATCACCTCCCTCGACCAGCTGGCAATACAGTGCTTGATGCACCCCAGGACACGGTTGGCCCTCCTGGCTGCCAGGGCACACTGTTGGCTCATGTTCAACTTGCCGTCGACCAGAACCCCCAGATCCCTCTCGGCGAGGCTGCTCTCCAACCTCTCGTTCCCCAGTCTGTATGTACATCCAGGGCTGCCATGTCCCAGGTGCAAAATCCGGCACTTGCCCGTGTTAAACTTCATATGGTTGGTGATTGCCCAGCCAACTCCGGTGATTACCAGGTTGGTGTTCTCTTGCCTTACTTGAGAAATTAAGCGGATCACCCTGGAAAGTCTTGTCACTGGGCATTTTTTACTGATCTCAAACTAATTCAGAATGGCACATGATGGTTGTCCAAGCAGCTGGGTACTGCCCGCTGCATCTGCATTGCCAAAATTATTGCTGTTGCTCCTGTGCCAAGTGATCTTAGCCTTTCAGCCCACACCACTCTCATGCTGACAAATGTGACATGAGAGAAGTTGAAACATCTGCTATGAAATTCTGCCAGTTTGGAAGAAAAACCAAAAGACTTGCTGTAAAACAAGAAGTTAGGTTTAACAGTAAGGGTTCTTTTCTTTTTTTTTTTTTCTTTACTGTCCAGATTCCAAGTGGAGGACTCACTGAAATTTGCCGAAAACCTGTATCTCCAGGACTTATCACCTCTGTATCTGACTGGCTGATTTCCATTGGTCTACCTATGTATTCCAGCCTGCTCACAGAAGCAGGATTCAACACACTGAGCAAAGTGCCTTCTCTGTCACAAACTTGCCTTCAAGAAGCTGGCATCACAGAGGAAAGGCACATAAGCAAGCTCCTGGCAGCGGCAAGACTCTTCAAACCTCTTGATCCAGAGGCAATTTAACATGCTCCATAGCGTGGCATTGCCTGGTCAAGAATCCACTGCTTCTTCCGGCACCAATATTGCTCTAATTACTTCACATAGCTAAAGGGATCAAGGAAGTGGCTCCCAAGGACAGGCAGATATCGTCTTCAAAGGACATGAAATATTTCTATTGCTGTCTTTGGCAACTGAAGGAGAAGAGAAGCAACCACCAGGTAACAGACATGTGGTACTTCCCTCCCCCCTCACTCCCCTGTAAAGTATTCTTATTTCATAAAGTGCACAGGGTTGGCCTGAGGGTCGGACAGCTTCACAGAATTAAGGGACCCTTGCGCATTTTCCTCAAGTTTGTGAAAGTAATAGGCCCTGTTTCCATGCGAGCTCCTTAGGTTGGGGGGTCTTCTGTACATCTAGGTTCCAGGTACCTGGAGTCAGTCCTAAAGACCAGGTACAAGCCAAGGTGCAAACTCCAGTAGAAGCTGTTTGGCAAATGCCTTTTGTTTATTTTAGCAACCTAGAGCTAAACACAAACCTCCCCAGTCATCTTCGCTGTTGCTTGGTATAGGTCCCAATATGCCACAAAGCCTTTAGCTAGGCCAAAGTTAATGGACTGGAATTAGTTTTCAGTATGGTCCATCTCTGTCACTCCAATGCAACTAACCCATGGAGAGTCAGAAAGCTTCTTTTTATTTGTACAGAGCTGAGGTCATTTTTATAACTGTTTTCTAGCAATCAGCTTTTTATTTGCCTTAAAATAAGCTTTTAAGCAGTTACCTAGTGTTCACTTACCTGTATTCATGTTTCCCAAGCCTTGTTTCAACTTGTCGCCCTTAAGCTGCACTTAGGGTGATTTCCAGCTGAAATAGCTTCTATAAAATGCCTCATCATAACACCTTCTGTGTTGTAGAGATGCTTTTACAAATGCAGGGTTATGCTAGGTTTTGGTTGTCAGGCTAACTTCTTGTTCACTACAGTCTGCATTTACTGTTGCTACTAAACAGTTCCAAGATATACTGCCTTGTATATATGTAACTGCTTTTCATTTTAATCATATTCTGTGTACTGTGTTATATTGTCAATCATTATGCTGCAGCTTTGACTTGGTATCCTGACCATATCGATTCCAAACAGTGGGTTTCTGCAAATGAAAATTTACTTGTGGGAGATAAACTGCATCAAAAAAGCAAATTGTGTCCCATAGAAATCATCAGATCCACTAACTCCATTGCATGGACAAAAAAAGTCCTATATAGTCTTATGAATTACACTGTGATTTTACAACAGTTGATATCCCTCATGACTATGTGTTAATGTTACCTCTCACTGGAAGAGAGCATTGTTCTGGCATATGTGGTGAACCATTCTTCAATGATGTAATGATATTTTTCTGCCTAAATCCATGTAAAACGTTCCATTCACATATGTGGCTAATGACAGATTTTATTTTTCTATATGAGTACACATTTTATATACCAAATACAGATTATCATGAATAGCACGTAACTAGCTTTTTCTTTGGGGTCCATATATGTTATGTCCTTCAGCTTCTCGTAGCACAAATGCTCCATGGAAGACAGAGCAAGCTTACTCTGGCAGGTAGAGGGGGATAGTATAGAAACCTGGGCACAGGCCAGGCCGTGTGGCTGTTCCCACTATCAGTTCTGACATCAACTTACTGTATAAAACCAGACAAGGCACTTCACTATTCGGTGCCTCAGTTATCCCAGCCTCATATTGAGCTAATGACACTTTTCCTGATAAAACACTCTCAGATTGATAAATGAAAAATTATGGTTACTCCATGATTCCTTACTATATATGGTCCTTACGTGGCCATGTTTTAAGTCAGATGAACGATACATTTTACTACAGATGATAATTAGTTTGGCTCCTGGTGGAACTGGTGTTAGGTTTACTGTTTGTTTCAGATTTCACCACTGTCTACTGCACGCCGTCATGTGAGGGCAACTAATTCACTGATGTAACTTGAAATTGTTCTCAAGCAGAGCTCCTCCAGATCTTTTTCTGTAATGTTCTCCTCGGCGTGTGGATAATCAGTATGTTCTCATATGACGGCATCAGGAAACATACAGCATAGTTTTTTGCACAGCTAGTGAAAATCTAAAAGAAGAAAAAAACTCTGGGGAAAAAAAATGAAATGTCTTTTTAATAATGATGATTTGTCTGTTGTTCCCCTCTGAGGCTTACATGGCAACTATCAGTAAGCAGGAGATGGAAAGAGTATTGAGACTTCCTGGGATTGCTGGCAGGGGCCAGAACTGAGTAGAAATAAGTAGACGGCAGCTTCGTTGGAGCAAGGGAAAAGTCCAAGCCGGCTATATGCAATAAAAAAGGAAACAAATTTCCTCATGCTGCAGGGAAGGCGAGTCACATAATAAAGCTCTCCCGTGTTACTACTTTCCCCTCTCTTAATAACAGCAACAGAATTACAGGGATAAGCTGAACCTGTGTGCCAAACACTCTGTAAATCCGTGATTTTTAAATGATTATGTAGCCGAGGGAAACCAAATCATACCCATCGGGACTAGAGTGAGCAGTTTGAGATTTGTGAGTTTTAATAGTTGCTTCGTTTTTCTTTTTAAGACTTTGCTCTGTGGTCTTACTTGAATTACCATTTTAGTTTTTATTTTAATCTAAAAAAGCCTTAAGCTTCTCAGCGTTTTAGCTTCCCTGCTGTGGTTTCAGTGACCGGTGGCGTTCCCTGAGCAGGTGAGGCGGTGCAGTAGGAGAGCCATAACCTCTTAGATTTCCTCGCAACCGTGTAGCGCTCTAAGCAAAAGTTTGCTCGTTGACTCTTGGGAAGCATGAAAGAAACCTGCTGCTGGAATCCCAATCTGCTCTGCTCAGGCTAACAATGTTAAGTATCTATCCATTGTACCGTCGTAACTCAAACAGCTATTTAACAGTATAAGCAGCAAGCCCAAAATATTACCAAATGCCGTCATAACTGTCAGCTTCGATCGATAACCTTCTGTCACTACGCAGGTGGCAGTGACGCCCATAGTTGCCTGTGCTCTCTTACGAGCCTGGCTTTGAATGCAAACGGGGAGCATGATCAGAAGCATTAAACATTGCATTATTCAAACAGGTCATCATCTCTAAGAGCAGCAATAGTGGTCAATTCACCAAGTCACAGCTGTGCAGTTGTACTGTATTATTTTTAGAATAAATAATACTTTTGGTCCAAGATACTTTTATCTTTAATTGACACCCTCTGGGGAATCAAAACTGTCAAGCAAGTTATGTAACAACTAACAAAGTTGCACTTTCTGTATATGAAATCAATATTTAAATAACTTATTTTTCTCCATTTGCTGTTCTTAAATGATGTAAGTAGCTGTAATATACCAGTACTCAATATGTCCTGCAGTTTGCTTCAACCCAAGAAAGCTGATTATTGTAAAGAAAAAAAACCACAAAATATGAATGTGTAAAGATTATTGTGCTGTTTCCTTTGGCAAAAAAAAAAAAAAGGTTGACAAAAGGGTTTTCCTGTGTATCAAAACTTGTCTATAATTATATGTCATACTGTTCATAGATAAAAAGTAAATAAATTTCCTTGGTCTCTCTCTTTTTTTGGTGGTGTTTAATTTAGCTAACAGATCTTCGTCCAGCTATTTAATTTCTTTGCTTGTATCCCAGGCCCTCTCCCTCCAGCTTACCAAGCCTGTAGTTCCTCACCTTCTAAGCACTCTCAACACTTACCTACAGCAGGAGAAAAAGGTTAACAAAAAAAAAAAAAAAGATTAAAAGCCCTGATAATCCAGGACTAGAAGCAGCCCTCAGTGTGATTGCATGGGATGTGGATCATCAGTGTCCAAACTGTGTGTCTCGTATCCCATGGATGTCCAGCTGCTGGGCTCAGGGATGTGTGCGAGAGGTCTCCCAGGTCTACCCTTGGGAGCTTTTCCACTTGCAATGGAATAATTAAAAATTGGTGGAACCAGAGAAAGACCGTCTGAGTATAATGCTCTGGAGTTGTAGTGACAGCTCTTGCCTGCAAGAAGGGATTTCAAACCTGGTTTTCAAATGCAGCTCCGCTTCATTGGGCTGGCGAGGTGCCTTACTCTGGAGAGGACAGCTGTGACTCCTGAGCAGTCAGGTAATCTCTGCAGTCTGTAATAAGATGCCAATGTCCAGGTTTTGGGGCAAAGGAGCCTTAGGACATGACTCCTGGCACGTCCTTCTAGCTCACTCGAGTGAGTTCTTGCTTAGTATGTTACGTTTGTTGGTCTAGTTACATTTGCTGTGTAATTAATGGGTCTGCTTAGCTACCTAACAGAGTGCTGGCGGGTCCACACGGTAACAGTGCACCATAGCTGGAAGTTAATCCTTTGTGGATTTAGCCCTAAGTCACAGGGATGGACTATGCCTGCATTAGTTGTCATTAACCAGAAGCTTAACTCTGGAAATGACATAAAGCGAAAACAAACAAAAACTCTGTCGTTTGAGTTGGATCCAGGCAGCTGAATCTTCGGTTCCCCTCAGGCAACGCTCCCACCAGAACTGTACAACGTGGCAAACAGCTCATGGGAATGAGGTAGCATGTCAGATGTGAACTTTTAATTTTTCTCCCCTATTAATATCTTTCGGTTCAGCTGAGGACCAGGCCACTGCTGTGCTTGCGCAGCAGAGGGCACTGCTCTGCTGGCTGGAGGAGAGCGTTCAGCCAGCCTCTGGGGACTGCCGCTGGCTCCAAGACAGGCCGTTTCCAAGAGTCTCTCAAGCAACAAAACAGAAATAAAAACAAAACAAACACTGGACAGACAACATGAAAAGCCAGAGCGCTTGCCATTTCTGCAGCTGGAAGGAGTATTGCTTCCCTTCCAAGACTGCTATGGTCCAGGATTGTTTTGGGAGCAGCTGAAACACAAAGCCCCTATCTATTGCTCTCAGCTTTTTGCCAGCGTGTTTGATCCAAATGTGTGCTAACCACCAGAGCCGCTGCCAAAACCGAACACCGCCACCCCCCGACACGTACGTACCTATCCTTATTCTAA